ACATTAGAGAGCCACTCAGGATACATAATTTCTCTTCTATATTCAGCTTTTAAAAGTTTGTTTACTTCCTCAACAATTACATCACTCCTCTCCCTATTTACAGGTCTCCTTTTTTGCTTTACAGGTCAGAATGATGGGTCTATGTTGAGGCGATGCACCATAATCTTAGGGTCGATGCTTGGCATGTCCTCATAGGACCACGTGAAAACGTCCGAGTTGGACCTGAGGAAGTTGATCAGTTCCTCCCTATCAGTGGCCCCCAGCTTGGTTCCTATGCTTACTTGTTTTTCAAGACTAAGCAAAGGAACAAGCTCGAGCTCCTCAGTCAATGCAGAGAACTCTCTTTTACCAAATTTCGATAGGTCAGCCTCGGATTTCAGCTACTGTCCCAGTTGGCTTGTCCTTGTATGGCGCATACTGATGACCCTTTAAGCGCGGAGGCATAGCACTCCCTTGAAGTTTTCTCCTCTCCTCGGACCATGCCCACTCCATTAGGAGTTGAGTACTTCAGGACTTGATGAAGTGTTGAGGGAACGGCCCGGAACGAATGGATGATGGGTCTCCCGAAGATGGCGTTGTAGGTCGATCTTCCGTCGATCATGACGAACTCGGCCATCTGAGTTACCTGTGTATCATCTTGCCCAATAGAAACCGGCAAGTCGATACACCCCTCTGGAGAGACCGATTCTCCAGAGAATCCAACCAAGGGTGTCAGACTCTTCTTCAGCTGCGACCTGGTCCATCCCAAGGCAAGATATGTTGAAAGGGACAAAATGTTGGCAGATGCGCCTCCATCTACCAGTACTCTTCAGACCAGGACGTGATCGATGAGAGGAGCGATCACAAGCGCGTCATTATGGGGCAAATGGACCCCTTCCTGGTCGGCATCGTTGAAGGTAATGGAGGAGGTCGGTCTTTGCTCCCTGATGATGCACACCTTGCGTCTGGCTTCGCGACCTAACTCCTTTCTTTTCTTCCTAGATTGGCCCTCACTTGGGCCTCCGAAAATGGTATTCATGACCGCAGGTCAGTCATCTCGGCGAGGTGGCGTCCTCGAACGCTTCCTCTCTTCTTTCTTTTCCACCGAGCTGGACCTCGGTTTGCCAACTAACTTTTTGAAGTAGCCATCTTGAATGAGGTCTTCAATCTGGTGCTTAAGTTCCCAGCAGTTTGACGTATTATGGCCGTGATCACGATGAAAACGACAATATTTATTTTTATTGCGCTTCTCTGGGTCTCCTCGGAGCTTCTCAGGTCGCTTGAGGAGCTTTTCCATCCTAGTCTCCTCAATGTTTGGAAGTATTTCAGAGATTGGGATGGTGGTCGGAGTGTAACGCTCATAAGGTCGGCTTCGGTTGCGGTTGCTATCCGACCTTCGATAATCAGTTCGGCTGCTAGAGGAGGATGGTCCCTTGTCTTTAGACTTGAAATTAGCTTTTCCTTTATCCTTGCCAGCTCTCCCCTGGTCGATCTTCTTTTCTGGTCGGCCAGTTTTGGTTTGGAAGAGCTCTTGCCCATTAATAACCTTATTCGCCTTTTGTAGGACCTCGGCAAAAGTTGCTGGGGCTTCTTCTCCGAGCTTCACAGTTAAGGTTTCATCGGCCAGGCCTGTGAGGAAGTAGCACATGTCTGAGTTATCGGAGCAGTGTGCGACCTTCAGCTGCTTCTCCTGGAACCTTGTAACATATTCTCTCAGCGTCTCACCTTCCTTCTGTCTGATGGTGGCGAGGTGAGTCGCTGTCTTTCTATCGTAACGCCAAGAAGAGAATTGGCTGATAAATTATTTCCTCATCTGGGAGTAGGTCGAGATCGACCTGGCCAGCAGTCTTTGGTACCACAGGCACGCGCTGCCGGTGAGCGCGATCTGGAAGGCGCGGCACTTGATTGCATCTGTCGCTGCTTGAAAGTCCATGAGGCCTTCGAAGACCTCAACATAGTCTTTTGGCTCCTTAGACCCGTCATAAGGCTTCATGGTTGGAGTCTTGAATTTTGGAGGGATTAGAGCCTCTAGGATGTCTGAGGTGAATGACGATTCTCCCAGGTCGCCATCATTGAACGGGCTCTCTTTTTTCTTGCACTTAGCCTTCAAGGCCTTAACCTGAGCATTAAACTTGCTCTTTAGCTGGTCGAACTCCTCCCTTGTGATCACTCCTTCAGGGGTTATTGGATTGTAGGAGGATTCTGCCTGCTGGTTGGAGTTCCTGTGTGAACAGGACGGAGATTGCCCCTTTTGGAGGGACGAGCTTCTCTTTCTGTTGAGATGCTCATGGAGATCACCC